CCCCAAAACCCCAAAACCCCAAAACCCCAAAACCCCAAAACCCCAAAGATTCGAAATGTTCTTGAAAATATCTATTAAATCTATAATTTATTTATCAGCCTCAAACGACAGTTCAGAAGCAGAACCTTGGCTACCTCATTCCTTTAGGATGCTCTCTAGTCGGAAGATTGGACTGTCCCTAGGGTTTGAGGGATTTTGGGGATGAACTTGGGGGCTGATGTAGCTATTTTGAAGGTATTAGTTTATATGGATTTGTAAATCTAACTATAAAGGCTAACTACTATCCTTATACTAATAAAACAAGCTCTTTTCACAGACTCCTGTCCCATACATCATAAATCCTAACGAATCCTCTACCCAAACTCCTCATCCCAACACCTACATCTCTTTCTGCTGCAAAACCTCCTCTCCATCCTTACTTCCATATTCTCTCCCATCAGAACCACCACAACTCCTCTCATTTCCTGGCCAAGCACCCCCAGCAAATTCCTGAGACCCCTTACTGCTAAAGACATCCTAGTTCTTCCTTCTCAGCCTTAAGAAGCTCGTCTAGTAGGTTAGAAGTATCTGACTGGGCTTCCAGGTCAGGAATTTCAGGGATTTTAGGCGGGTTTTGGAAATTTTCGTTGAATGAAGAGGTTTTGAGGGTGAAATCTTTGGCTGGCTGTGAATTAAGGGTGGGTTTGTGGGTTATTTTTGTGTGCTGGATGTCAGTGGGAGGTATAGGAGGGTCTACCTTGGGTGGAATTTTGGGGTCTAAAGTTTATAAGGGTGGAGAAGGGAGGGAAGGGAGAAGGTGGAAGGAATTTTACAGGGAGTAGGATCGATGATTGGGTCAATTGTTCCGACTTTTATCATGGGGAGAGGGGTATTCAGAGGTGCTCTGTTTGTCTTTTTTGTGCTAATTTTCTTGGCAGCATGATCTTTGGGGTCAAGTATCATAACTGATTTCTTTCTCTTCTTGTCTTGCTTAATGACATTGCTATTTCTAGAAAAAATTATGATAAATATTTACGTTAGAAAGTGCAGATATTCATCTTGCTTTGTTTCTAAAAGAAGGAGAAGGTTTTCTGAGGCCACTCGCCATTGCGTGAGAAGGCATTGAACTATCAGAGTGAAACTCAGAAGTAGTGTTTGACAGCACAGCTACAGAATCTAATTCTACTCTCTCTAAACCTATATGCGCTTTTAAGTCATTCCTCATCTCATGCATCATTTTAGTCTGCTCATCCACGACTCTCATCAACATGTTTATTTTTGAGGATAGAAGAATCAGCTTCTTCTCCTGTTTTTGATCAGATTTAAGAGTCTGGTTTGTCCTGATAGACTGTTTCCTGAGCATGATCTCCTCCTTATTTATTCTGCTTTATTTTTAAAGTCTTCTTATTATTGGATTGAATCATCTGAAGGATTGCAATGAGCCTGTTTGATTGATAAGATTTCTAAACTCAATTGAATATCAATAAATACCACTATCCTCATGATTCTCCGGATGCCAAGTTGGAACTTCTTCAGTGGGGTCATTTCTGAATGCCCTGATCTGTAAAACTTATAGTCTCAGTATGGCAAGCCTTCTTCTGCTATATATTGTTCATATTCTGAAATTATGAGGTTTAGTTCTTCATATTTCTCTCTTAATTCTTCGATACTATTTATCAGAAAGTGTTAGTAGAAGACAGTCTGTAGTAGCCCTAAAACTAAAAGAGTATGGATCTCCTGTGAGAATGGAATAGGTACCTGTAGAGCACCCTCTATATAAGCTGTCCAGATAGGTCTCTTGCCCATCAACATTTTTGATCAGAATCTCAGCCTCTCCGCTGACAATGATATGAAGATTGCGACAGATCTTTCCATTCTTGAACAGATATTTTCCTTTATTCACGTTTAAGAGTTCAAGTTTGTAAAATATTTCATCAATGATGTTCTCTGGGATTTCATGTTGTAGAAAATCAACATTTGCAAGGGCAAATTTTCAGAATTTGTTCCACTTGTCATTATAATTTGAGGCAATATGGTTGTTCATGTCATTCTTTATGTCAGGATATCTCTCTAATACATTAATAAAAGCATTCTTATTTAAACCAGTGAAGGTTGAGAAATTCTTAGACTTCACAGTTGCTGTTCTTTTACAGTTTTTGAGTATGGCTACCTCGCCAAAATATTCACCAATCGAGAGATTTTTGACCTAGAGATTAATGTTAGGCTTACATGACATTCGTCACTGTGTTGATCGGTAACATACACCTCACATTCACCTTTGGAAATGAAATAAATCATATCTGGTGCTTCTCCTTGCCTCACAATTGTATCTTCAGGGGTGTACAAAAGAGTGTTTAATTCAGGCAGAATTTGGTCAAAAATATTGGGCCTACTCTTAAAAATTTGGTTCTTAGAAATTCCTTGCAAGGAGATATGCTTCACAACAAGTTCTTTCAAAGAAGGTGAGATCAGCGATAAAAACTTGTTAATCTCCTCCTGATGATCACTTGTAGATTTGGTATAAGTAAGGTATCTATGTACTTCCTCTTTGATTTCTTCAGGGATTGATAAGTTCTTCATTGAAGTATTCGCATTCTCAACTTTTTCTTGGAATTTTGTGGCTTTCTTATTCAGCTGGGAGATAATAACGGCCATATTCCCGAAGATGTTTGCATTAATGATTGCTCCAGCAAAGAGAACCGAGCTGATAAAGACAAGCTGAATCTTGCCTCTTGGGCCGAGGTCATTTCCTCCGAGTATCAGCATTGAGTGGTATATTGAGCTTCAGTACTGGGTAAAAGGATCTTCACTATAAATATTTGTGCCAACCCATACATAATCTAGAGGGGGTAGCCACTTTTCGTTTTCTTTTACAATGAAGAACCATATACATCCAACACAGTGAATGTACATTACCAAGAAGAAGAAAAGTTTGATCAGCTTTAAGGACATTTTGAGTTCATCTTGCAGGTTCATATAAGTAATCAATCGGGAAAGTCGAAGAACTCTGATCAACTTGAGTAACCCGAAAAGCTCGAATGTTAAAGTTCCACTGGCGCTATCTGAAAAGAACAGGGTAACAATGTCGAAAGGGATAGAAGCTAAGAGATCTATCCAAAATTTCCCTTGGATATATTGCTTAGCAATAACTTTAGTATTATAGATATCGTCACCAGTAACTGGGTCAACAACGGTAGTTCTGAAATTAATGAAGATATCAATCAGAAAGAATAAATCTATCAGCCAGTTCATGATGTTAGTAAAGAATTGACTGATGATATATGCCTCAAACGAGACAGAGTATGGGATGTAGAAGAGATTCCAAGTTGCTAGCAAGACAATGAAAAGATCCCATCTAATTCTGTTTTGCTCCCTTGCCGTTCAAAAGAATCTCTTTCTAGCTCTTTTGCCTACAATAATATTTTTGATCCCTTTTTGTGGAGTATTAGAAGAGAAACTTGAAATTGTGTCACTTTCGTTGCTTAGTTTCTTAGTATTTGGGAAAAGCGATATTCTAGAGTTAAAGAGCTTTGGGCTCCCTTTAAAGGAGCCCAAATTTTTTGAAGAATCTTGAAGCTTTTCTAAAAATCCACCTCTTCTTCGTGCTCCATTTCCTATTTAGGCTTAGCATACGTAGTCTACCTTTATCAGGGGGTTCATCTTGCTTGGAATTATCTGAGTCTGATTCTGCTTGGATTACTCCAATGTGACGTTTAATTTCTGCATTTTGGCTTAGGTTAAATCTAGAAATAGAGCTTATTCAAAAAATTAGCATGCTTTTAATAAAATTTTAGTTTCTAAACTTATGCAAGATCCCTAGGCTTAACCATAAATTACAAAGGAAGGCTAGTGGAACAATTCTGAGCAAGAATCTTCATAAAACATAGAAGTTGTTTGTCATTTGAAGCATTATTAGGATTATGAAATTATAAAAAATCCCTGAAATTTCTGAAAAAGTTTATTGTTTTTCATTAGTATTTCCCTCTTGAATTCAGAACTGACAGTAAGACTTTCCTGAGCATTAGAAGGGGTAGATGATTTAGATAAAAATCAGAAAGAATTAAACATTGATTGTATTTGCATTAGATTGAACTAAAGAATACAAAAGCAAAGCTAACCATAAGATCATATTAAAAATTATCATTCTTTTCTTTTATTCAGAAATACTCCATCTAATTTAGCAAGCATCTATAACCAATATGCCGGCTCTTTAGCATCATTTATGAACAAGCAAATGCTTATTTATACACCTAAAGCTCTCTATCTAAGTCTTTAAACTAACTATTATTGTTCAAATACAGCTACAACTATTTCTAACCTCAAAAATTCCAATAAAATTGCTCGATCTTCAAATTCTCAAAGATTATTAGGTATAATCATGAACTATGCTAGGTAACTGGATAAGCAAGTTAATAAGAAGAATGACAAAATTACCATTCTTGACCAAGGACAACAGCTGCACTCTTCCGCCCAATAGGTTTGTCAAGTAAACCTTCTGACTCTTGTACTGCTGTCAGGTTATTCTGACCTTGAAATGCTGGTGTCTAGATCGAATAATTTATATTTCAAGATGAATAATTCTAGTTCTTTATGTATTTTTAGTAAGATTTACTTTAATTGAAGATAGTGCATTATCGTTCTGACTCCCACTTGTTCGAAACAAGCCTTCATTGGTATCCATATTTATACAAATTTTAAATCTTGAAAGTTTATATGATATAATTGGGGTTTTGGGGTTTTGGGGTTTTGGGGTTTTGGGG